GCTCAACATCTTTGGTTTTAGGAAAATGCAAATCAATACCATAATGAGATATCATTTCATACGCACTGGGATGACTCTAATTAAAAAAAGAAAAAAAAAAACATATAATAGCAAGTGTTGGCAAGGATGTGGAGCAACTGGAACTGTCATATATTTTTAGTGGGAATTCAAAATGGTTCAGATATTGTGGAAATCAGTGTGGTTGTTCCTAACATAGATGTATATAGAATTACTATTAGACCCAATGTATAGTAAAAAATTTTGCCCTGCACAAAGAGAAGTTGGCCTTTGCCCTCAGTTTCTGGGAGGTAATTATGTCTACCTGGTAGTAGTGTCTGTTTAGGGAGGGAGACTGGCCACACCTGATATCAAGGCAGGGCTGGCCATGTTAGACAATCTTAAGGCAGGGGCTGCCCAGGCCACAAAGATTAACCATGTGATTTAGGGTGGAGGCTTCTATGTATGGCATATCAGTCAACCTGGAGGCTGAGATCAACCATTTTGACAATCAATCAATTGATCAAAGTTATGTAACAGAGTCCTAATAAAAACTGAACACTGAGGCTTGTGTGAACTTCCCTGGTTGGCGATAATCCACGTGTATTGTACAATGTTAATGCTAGGATGATAACATATCCTGAGGACAATGGAAGTTTCTCTCTTGTACCCCTCCTAGACTCTGTCAAATATGTCGCTTCCCTTGAGTTATTGACTGGTATCCTTATCTGGTGATGAACCATAACTATGAGTATAGTTGTTGGTGACTCGTTTGAAATTTCTAGGAAATTAATGTACCTAAGAGTGGTTTTGGAAATTCCTCAGACTTGCAATTTGTGTCAGAAGCAAGTGCAGTATAAGACGTTGCACCCTTAAACCTCAGGGTTTGGCTAACTCCAGGTACCCAACAATTCCACTCCTAGGTATATACCAAATAGAATTGATAACAGGCACTCAGACAAATACTCACACATGAATGTTCCTAGCAGCACTATTCACAATAGCCAAAAGGTCAAGCAACCCAATGTCCTTCGATAAATTGATGGATACACTGATGGTGGTATATACATATGATAGAATATTATTTAACCATAAAAAGGAATAAAGTACTGATACATGTTATAATGTGGATGAACTTTGAAAACACTATGCTAAATGAAGGAAGCCAGGCACAAAGGTCACATGCTGTATGATTCCCTTTACGTGAAATGTATGGCATGGGTAAATACATGGAGACAGGAAGCAAATTGCTCATTATTAGGACCTGGGAGGAGGGAAAGACTGCTTAAAGGGTATGACTTTTTTTGAGATGATGAAAATATTTTGGAACTAAGTAGAGGTGTGGTTGCACAATATGGTGAAAAGTTTAGTGTCACTGAATTTTTTACTTTAAAATGGTTACTAAATGGTTAATAAAAATGGTTATGAGAATTTCACTTCAATAAAAAAGAGGCCAGGTGTGAAAAAGAAGTGACGTTTGATCCCATTTTTTATCTCAACTTCAATCTCTGCAGTAATTGATGCAAATTTGTCAAAGGTAAAAAGCTTGTCCTTCTCCCAACTAAAATTCCATTGCTTCAGTCTTCCATGCTACTGATAATTCATTATTCAGAAAGAAGGAAGTAAATGAGTTCTTTGTTTTAACACTCTCGCCCTTCTATTCCTAGTTTGCTGAGTATTTTTACGATGAATAGTAGCTTAATTTTATTAACTATTCTTCACATCTCTTGAGGTGACTATATGTTCTTCTATTTTATTGTGTTAATGTGATGAATCACATTGATGGATTAGAAATGGTGTACCAAACTTGCATTCCTGGATTAAATCCTTGGATTAAATAGGATTGTCTATTTTATATATCAACAAATTGATTTGCTATGTTAAGTATTTGTCCATGTATACTTATGATATATTGTTCTGTAGCTTACCTATCTGGTGATGCTGGCATCATAAAATGAACTGGAAAATGTCCCCTGCTTATTCTTTTGTTAAGGTAAACTTATGTAAGATTGGAATTACATCTTCTCTAATGTGCCACCTACATTAAGAATAAGGTTATAATTTTTTATAAGGCTTTCCTGGAATTTTGATGATATCTGTAGGGAAATAAACACCAAATATAAATAGAAAATCACTCCTACATATTGCTTCTCTAAGATCCACAAGCTCAGAACTATTTTCATACACTTTCTGTTGGGTTTTACCCTTGTGCTTAGAAAACAACTTTTTTCATCAACAAGACTGTCTTTGAGCTTGAATGAACTATGTATCTAGGCAGCAATATTCAGGAAAGACAGAGCATTAATGTACCAGCTCCACAATACCTTCCCCTAACTGTCCATGTAAATTTCCTTTTTCTCTTTCAGGGTCAATATTTTTCTAAGATGATGAATAATAGGGAAGATCTGTTGGGCAGTGAAAATATCACCTACTACCCAAGGAATACTCATATCATAAGAAAATTGTCCAGCATTGCAAATTTCCTGAAGTGTTGTTTATTATTAAACATTATATGCAAATTGATATTTACATAATATGGTCTACATTAACTTATAACACTTTGTCCATTAATCTTGGAGTACATTCTTCCTTTAATCTTGTGAATACCTTCACCAAAAATCTTGACACAACTCTTCAGAAATGAAACAAAGGAGCTGACCCTATCCAAACCACTAATAAGAATTTAAAGTAAGAGGAGTATAATTCATACACAGAAATGAAGAGCCCATCACTAGCACTTTGTAGAACCCTCAATGAAATCGTTTCTATTAACAAACATACACTCATTTCATTGTTTAAAATGTGTACATCCAGATTAAAATTATAATTTTGAAATTCTTGGAGAATATCTGCATTATATTTGTGTAAATAAATGTCCGTTCAAAAGCATTTTCCAGAATAACTAACAATCTATTCTAAAGGAGTTTGCAACTATTCAGAGTTTTTTTCTTTATAATTCATTCTATTTTCGCCTTAGGATCTTAAATCCAAGGACCTATGGCATATGTCAAATATAGTTCACTCTATACTGTGTTCACACCTTCTAAATACATTTTTCCGTCATTAAAATATTTTATTAACATACACACAGCCTATTAAAGTACTTGTGGACTAGAACACAGTTCAGTGTGTATGATAACTGGTGGACAGAGAATTAAAAGTTAAATAAATCTATAACTCTATAATTATATATCCTGAATTGTTAAAAATATTGTTATATATTGCTAAACAATCAAATAAATAGGTTAGGTTACAAAGTTTGGTAGCAATCTTCATTATAATGGAAATTAGAAATTTTTATTTGGAGATAAAAAGCTTATGATTTGGGCGAAGCCAATAACATAACTCACAGTCTACAGTTGAACTGAAACCATGATACTTGGAAATTTACCAAAACTTTGTCTGTACTGTGAGACATCAACCAAGATCAGCAAGCAACAACTGTCAATGACAGCCCTTTAGTGAAGCTAATCAAATGACCCATCAATTTAGGGAAAAGTCTGTCAAACTAGAACAGCTATTTTTATTTTTATTTTTTTATTATATTTTTTATTTTTTGTAGGGAAAGATTTGCCCTGAGCTAACATCTATTGCCAATATTCCTCTTTTTTCTTCTTGAAAGCCCCAGTTCATGGCTGTATATTCTAGTTGTAGGTCCGTCTAGGTCTTCCACAAGAGCCGCCACCACAGCATAGCTACTGACAGACGAGTGGTATGGTTCCACTCCCAGGAACCAAATCCGGGTGACCGGAGTGGAGTGCACAAAACTATAACCATTAGGCCATCAGGGCTGGCTCAAGAACAGTAATTTTTATCTGAAATATACAAAAGGAATATTTTCCATTAGGTAAAATTGACTATAAACTTTAGGGATATTGAAATATTGGGCCCAATTCTTCCTTCTGTTCTCTATCTATGCTCATTGTCATGTAATTTTTCAGTTCTACAAAAGACAGATATACTTTCTCAATCATTGGCTTTGTGCTCAGCTATATGATTCACATTGGCTAATAGAATGTTAACAGACATGAAATAAATAGGTACTTGAATCAGCTTTTGTGATAGCACATTCTGTCTTGTGACTCAGCCATTGACAATGCAAGAAGATAGTCTAACTAGCCCAATGGCACACAGAGCAGAGCTATCCAATCACCATGCAGATCTACAGCCTAGAGGTGACTTTACTAGTTAGGCAAGACTATATCAGGTTAACCAAGATGCTCTAGCTGATATTAGCAGGGCTGCTCCAACAAATCCCCCAATAAAAAGTGAAAAGTGCCTAATGTTACATATCACTGAATTTTATGTTCATTATTATGCATCAACAGTTATAGTATACAACAACTCAAGATAGTCATAAATAACAATTTTAAATTTAGCATGAGCTACTTCTGAAGTGTGCATCTTTTAATTTTTACTTTTGGATGCTTTATATACAAAGAGCAAATAAAATTTATATTAACAACTATAATTTAACCAAACAATATTCTAGACTTTGTCAGGGCAGAGAGATGCCTTCTTTGGACTTGCAATGTACCAATGTTTCCCGTGTGGAATTAAATAAATATATATTTTTAAATTTAATGTCTGAGTGTTGAGTAACTCTTAGCTTACTATACTGAATTTGATGTGTCCTCCTTGATGGTAAGCTATAAATTTTTTGAACAACTCTATAAACCCATTCTGTGATGAGAAAAAAAAGGAATGAAAGATTTACTGGGCAACCAAATGGTAATGGCACCGACCCAGAACTCTCTACATGACAGACTCTGTGTTAGAGACTTCATTTCCGTGGTCTGAACTTTAATTACTGTGTTACTTATTATTTTACGGCTAGATTACTAAAGTTTTAAGTTTAACAGATGTTGAGTAATCTGTCAACTGGGGAGTTACATTAAACACTGCTTTGCTTTATGAAAAAAAGGAATTTAAGTATTAAAAATGCTAAAAGACTTGGACAATTCTCCACCATACTCTTGAAAATGAATAAGTAAATCTTACTATCTTACATTAATGACATAATAATTTGGTATTGATTGACTTCCTGACTGTCTCCTTCACATCTTTGTTCCTGAGGCTGTAGATCAGTGGGTTCAGCATGGGGATGACCACTGTGTAAAGGACAGAGGCTACCTTGACCCTGAGCCATGAACTTTGGGAGTTAGGAACACAGTAGAGAAACAGGATGGTCCCATGGAAAATGGTAATGGCTGTTAGGTGGGAGGCACATGTGGAGAAGGCTTTGTGGCGTCCCTCAGTTGAAGGCATCTTCACGACAGTGATGAAAATAAAAACATAAGAAGTAAGAATGATCATCAGGCTGCTTATTTCATTAAATGTGGCAGAGACTAAAGCGATCTTCTGGCTAATGTAGGAGTCAGAGCAAGACATAGAGACAATGGCAGCGTGCTCACAGACAAAGTTATTTATGGCATTCTTTCCTCTGAAGGATAATTCCAAGAGAAAGTAGGTATGGGTCAGGGAACAGACTGTACCCCAAGAGTATGTTGCACCCACCAACAAGGAACAAAGCTTCTGAGACATTACAACTGTGTAGAGAAGAGGGTTACAAACTGCCACAAGTCGGTCATACGCCATCACCGCTAACATGAACGTTTCTGTCATCACAAATATGCATGCAAAGAAGAATTGCATGATGCATCCTGTGAAGGAGATGGTTCTGTCTTCCACAACCAAGTTTTCTAATAGTTTGGGTGTCACTGTGGTAGAGTAACAGAAATCCACAAAGGATAAGTGGCTGAGAAAAAAGTACATGGGGGTGTGGAGTTTGGGATTGATCTTGATAATTGCGGTCATGCCCAGGTTTCCCAGCACAGTGATGGTGTAGATGGTTAGGAACAACAGGAACAGGGGCACCTGCAGTCCTGGATATTCTGAGAAGCCCAAGAGAATGAACGTGACTTCAGCACTCTGGTTTTCTTGGTTCCTGTGGACAAAATAGGAAAGTTGATTCAAAGAAATGAGAAATCAAATTTGGATAAGGCAGGTTAAAACAAGGAAATGTTGAGAGACTTAGTGATTAGTTATATATAGTGTTGTGGAAAACTCTTAGTTTCAACTATTACATTATTTAAAAACTAAAATTTACTAATAACACAATTTTAGAGTATGAAATCTGTGCAAATGGTATAAAAAAGACAGTTGAGAGAGGAAGAAAAAAAATAGAGTTGACTTCGTTATATTTCAATGATCAGACAGGATCCTCAGAGGCTGTTGACTTCATGAGAAGGACTAGTCTAGCTTTTTGCATGAATTTTAGTTTAGTTAGAATGCTTGTTTTGGAAGAAATACATAAGTTTCTACAATTTCTTCCCTGACAACTTTTTTAACTCTGAGAACTTAGAATTCAAAAGAAAATTAATGACCCAGCAAAACGGTTGAGTTACAATTTTTTTTTTTTACTATTATTGCTATAACTACTTCTAAATTTCCCTTTACGGTGACCCTCTTACAGTCAGTCACACATTTCTTTTCCCATATTTTAAGTATTTTCTTCAGAAGAATAATGAACTTGATCAACCACACTTAATTATTGAAAATTATAAAAATCTGTTACCCTTTCTTGGTATATTGTAATATCAGGTATTTAGAGAGATTTGTGGTGGAAATAAACTTAAGTATAATATGCCCAGACTATTTTTATTATACTGGAGACCTTTCTACAATATTATCATCAGTTGGTCATTTTAGTTTACCTCAAAACCTCCAAAAATGGACCACTGCTTCCTGAGATATTACAGTGTGGTTTTTATTTGGTTAGAGATTTTCTTTCATTGAATTGGTTTCAATAGACATAAAGATAATCCTTCCAAAGCCCTGTTTTCTTAATTTCTTGATCTTCCAATAATTTTACCTCCACTTTACTCCTTCCTCATTGACCATGGTCATGGTCTTAAATATGCCCTTATCAATGATTATAAGACCTCAAAAATACGAATTTCATTCACATCTGTCACATAATATGGATTGTATTTATATTTTACCATTTACCTTTTTAACATTGTCTGTCTCGCAGTAAAATAAAATTGACCAAAGCAAAGATGGGGCACTAGAACAGAGTAAGTACTCAATAACACTTATCGAATAAATGAACATATGAGTATCCAAATTAGTGAATTCTAGGTGTATAATATACATGTATTGGGGTAAAAGCTTATAATAATACTAAAGAAGTTAGACCTGCCTATAAAATCAGCACCACACTGTAAACTCACAATGCACTGAGACACATCTTGAGTCTTGCAAAACAAGTAGCTGTAACGAAACCCCGTGGGACTTTAAGCTTCCTGAATTAGCATAAAATAGGGATATTGGGGGGTAAATGTGCTGAATTCTTTTTCAAAAATATCCTGTGTTCCTCCAAAATGCCTAAACTGTCTTTTTCTGCATTACAATCAATTATTCTCAAAGCCACTTCCTGACTGCTTACTGAAAACTAAAATGGCGTGAGGCATAAAGGGAAGGCCCTCTCTCACATAGAATTCTGTAAAAATTTTATGTCTTATTAGGAGCTGAAATTAAACGTGCTATAGTTTTCACTCAGTTGTTATGACTTTATCCTCCAAGACCATATACAGCACTTACACGTTTCCTGCACTTATATAAAGACATCGTTCACATATCCTGGCTCTTTTTCTTTGTCAATCACTCCTTTAGATTCCTTTGGTTTGATACTTGTGATTTAATCTTCCACCACATTTATTATTATTTCCTGAAAGTATTTTTCACTTTAACATAAAGCTCACTGAGTGCAAACTCCATAAGAGAACATACTCTTTCCAAGATCTGTGCTCGTCTCCTACGGCTGTGGTGACCAAGGCTGGGCAGCCCGGGACTGAAAGGGAACGCACGGCCACCAAAGAGAAAGGAAAGTCTGATGTCTATTCAGCTCACTCTTACCCACACATCTCTTCCACACATGTAGCTTTTCACTCCACCTCCTGCACCCCGTACTTGTGCCAACAGACTTGGGGCAAAGTTCCCAGTCCCCCCTTTACCCCCAGGAAGTGTCAACTACGTTGAACTGACTGCGAGAGCCAGGTGCTGTGCACACTCTTTCTCTCCCTCCCAGTGACATCCACCATGACTTTCTCACTGCATATCCACGGTGTAGTCAGCAGTATAAGAGGAATTTGAGAAACCACAAAATTGTAAAATATGCACCTCATCCTCGATTTTTTTTCTAATGAGTATTAATCTGGGGAATAATGCATATAATTACAAATGACACATTGCAACATATAATTCTTGTTTGTTATTAAAATTAAAGTTTGTGTGTATAAAAAGAAAGATAAGAATATTGTGATCAAGAAAAACTGAAAATATTTCCTAGTGATGTAGGTCAGTGAATAATAATAATGTGCTGAAAGATAAGGAATCAGATACTTCTAGTTGGCTGAAGTACGTAGGTATCATGGCGGTTAGATTTACATAGGTGTTGCCTCCTGCAAATATTATTGGAGCACATTATTTTCCTTTTAAAGATAAATAAAATAACTGAATCAGCTCACCTGAGTGCAGAAGAATTCGACTTATTCATTTAGTGAAGCTTCTTTGTTAAGATTAATGGACTCCAGGCAAGGTCCTGCTGAGAATTCAGCTTTTTTTTTTTTTTTTTTTTAATATTGTAACCAATCTGAAAAAGTAGTAACAGGAGTCTACAGTATATTGCGATGAATATTCCAGGGAAATGACTTTTTCCTCTAATCTGTCAAAAATAAACTCAGAAATGACGAAGAGAAAAGGAGATCAAAAAGCTAAATCCTAACACCCAACTGCATCACACATATATGCCACCAGGACCTTAGGGATGTTAACCCTGGAGAATATCACTGAAATCTTGCATTGGAGGCCACAATCCAGCAATTAGATGAAGTAATTCCCCATGTGATATTTTGTTTGTTTATAATTTCCTCTAGAGATTGGGGAACATTTTCACCATAATCTGTAATCCATTGACCTTTTAAAAATGTTGAACCAGACAATTTTTTGTCTATAAATACCCATAAAATACAGAAAAGTACAAAAGAAAAATCAGCTATTTGGCAACAATCCAGAGACAACCACTTTTATTCTTTGTTGTTTTTCTGGTTTCCCTCTCTATATGGATATATATTTATCAGTGTGTACCTAGATATAAAACTTATACACTAAGTATGATATTATAGTTATATTGTTTATTATCCTTACTTTCATTTAACACTGTAATGTGAGCTTCATTTTCTATGAACACCTTTAATTTTCTTAAGATAATACAGTTTGCATTGCTCTTCCAAATATGAGCACAATGCTGTTCAATTCTTACATTTATTATTGAAACTGAAAAAAGACGTTGGTACCCTACTTTTCAGTTTATAATCTAGATTTATAGGAAGGAACATATATTGATTATCTAAGAGCTGCCATATCTTAACACATAAACATCTCAATCTCAGTGACTCGATTTAATGGAACAGGTGTCCCTAACCATTTTCTGTAAAGAACCATTAAGCAAGTATTTTAGGCTTTGTGGGTCGTATTGTCTCAATCCCAACTACTCAGTTCTGCATGTTGTAGCGTGGATACAGCCATAGGCAATGCATAAATCAATAGGCTTGGCTTTGTTCAAATAAAATTTTATTTGTAAAAAGACAGTGGACCAGAAATGGTTTGTGGGTCATAATTTGTCAACCCGTGCAATAGAAATATTTCTTTTTTTTTTTTAAGATTTTTATTTATTTTATTTTTTTCCCCCCAAAGCCCCAGTGGATAGTTGTGTGTCGTAGCTGCACATCCTTCTAGTTGCTGTATGTGGGACTCGGCCTCAGGATGAACGGAGAAGTGGTGCCTTGATGCGCACCAGGGATCCGAACCCGGGCCGCCAGCATCGCAGCGCGCGCACTTAACCACCAAGCCACAGGGCCGGCCCAGAAATATTTCTTGATTATGCAAGGTCCAAAGTTATTTCCAGATCAGTCGGCAGATGTCCTCGGAGTAGCAATACATGGACCTAGCTTCAATTGTTTATAATAATGTGATTATTATAAGGTACTTATAATATAGAGGGAAAAACAATAATTTACTTTAAAAGATGCTGTACTTTTCTGCATTGTTACTATGCTCAAAGTTTTTGTTGTTTTTTTAGTATTTTACTTCAAGGTTTTGTCGAGCACATCAGGAGTACTCTACAGAAGTTGAAATAATTGAATAACATCAAAGATTTTTCCTGATTGACAAAATCATAATAGAATTTTGAACTTTGGGCTGAGCTCTAGCGTTCAGATAGGATTGCAGGGACAAGAAAGTAAAACAAAAGACTTTTTAAGCAGAGAAGATAGTCTGAGCCAAGATAGGAATTTGGATGTTCATGTTCCTATCAATTAGAAGTAGAGTTTATACAGGTACTGCTACCTGCATAAACGCAGGTAGCAGGTAAGGTTGGAAGATTGGAGGAGCCAAATTGTGTAAAGAACGCAATTGGGATCAGCATGCGTTGTTCAACCCTGTAATAGGGTTCAATGCCAACAGGACAAGGATGGAATAATGAAGAGGTTGTGGTTGTAAAAGGCCGTAGGTATTGTGAATGAAATTGATTCAGTTCTAATATTATAATCATGGCATTCAATTTGGTTGCTTTAATGGATTATGTAGACAGAAAGAGGTAACTCCTGTTTTCATTTTAGTTTGGACAGGAACATTATGTTCTTGACAGTATCTCATTACAGGTAAGAAAATGGTTTCTAATAACTACTAATAATTACACAGGTACCCTGCGACATCAAGTAATTAACAGTGAGACGTATATATCAGAACTAGAACATTTAATAAGCTAATCAAGTGCCTGAAGATGCGTGAGTTATAGAAGGAAAACTAAAGGGAATGCTGACCAACGTCTCCAAATATTTCAAGGCTAAAATGTAAAAAAGGTCTGGCCTTGTTTTTTTGTGTCTTCAAGAGAG